CACACTGCCCACCACTGTATCTACCATCCGACCGGCTGCTGCCCTGGCTCCCACTACCACCATGGTACTGTTGCTTTCCTATGGTCTATTGTAGGCTTGGTCAATATATTATGTTTGAATATTCATAACGTATGTACAGTGTTCTGCCCCTGAAATGATTTTGAAAATTGGAATTATTTTAATGCATCTGTTTATTTGGCCCTTAAGTTTACTCAAGCTCATGTTATTAGATTCATTTTATGATCTTAGGCTCAGTTAGACACATTAGTGTCTCTAATTCAAACTTCAGTAGCAAAAAATAAGTTTGAATTTTCATATCCTTTGTGGTTATGTTCTCCTCGGGCTGTTAAGAGGCCTGGGGTTCAGGCTACTCCGACACGGATGCCGGTGGTGATTACACAGATGGTTCGTACTCAAGGTAAGCTATTGAGAGACTTAATGAGCTTAGTGTCCATTTTAAACCCACTAAAGGAAAGTTATTGAGGCTTAAGTGTTCCTTTTCTCATGTAAGAGTCCAATGGCCCTTCCTCAGTATAATTACAAGTTTTATTGCAGGTGCTGTTGGGACACCCTTGCAAGTGAGGAGCCCCATGGGTGTGGCTGTTCAAGCGTCAGCCAATCAGAAACAGAAGCTGAATGACCCTGGGGGTGGGACTTTCAGGTTGGTTTTCTAAGAGTCCAGTAGGAGGCAGCGTTTCTCTAGAATTGTTAGTTGTTTCATGGCATTCGGGGCATGACAGAATTTGAGAATGTGAGAATGGGTGTGATGGAATGAAGTCATGTTCATGACTATTTATTAATAAGGTGAAGAAATTTTGTTTCGTTTTTGAAAAAAAAAATCACTTTTAAAAGATATAAAATAGGTTTTGTATCAAACCCATTCTCCAGTAAGCTTTTCTTTAATAAATAAACACTGGCAGCTTCTCACTTACAAACATAGAAGACAATATTTGTTTATAAAAAGAAAATAATTATAAAATATACAGTAATTATAGTACTGCATATTTTATATGCATTTATTTTTACAGTAATTACAGTAATCTCAATAATTATAGCCCTGTATAAATAAATTTATATAGTATTATAATGATATAATAATTATTTAATATTATATATACTAATATTATTCAAGTATATTATATAATATTATATATTAATAATATTACAACTAAACTGAAAATCTAAGTAAACCTTT